ATGGACATGCAGGAATTTTTAAATCGCTGGCACTGGATGTAAAGAAACCATTGTGTCTTGCATTCGGGTTGTTCTCTAAAAATTTCAAAATGGACTCACATGGAACTTGAATCTTCACATTCAAAGAAATGCATCCTACTTGGACTTGTTATCCAGGTCATATCTGGCAGTCAAAGCAACTGGATTTGCTCTTCATGTTTTTTTCACAACTCATCCAAGAGGCTTCTGCAGCTGCCTTTGATTTATTACATCTAGATGCAATTAGAAGTGGTGCAACATTTAAAAAGTATTTCTAAAATTAACAATTTGGCAGATAATATATAGTGCCTCCAAACGTTCCTCCAGGCATGTCTTCTAGTTAGTTTTCATTAAAATAGCATCTTGGGCCACAGTTTTTCTTCGATACATTTACATTTAATGCTGTTTGATTTGCGCGCTATCCCATTACTCAGTCAAAGTAGCTTAGGTTGAAAGCCGTAGAATCAAGTGAAAAGTCATGACACTAAAATGTACGCTTAAAGCAAAGCTTCATTTAATTAGCCGACAAGTCTGACAGATACTATTTAACATGAATCACTTCCCTGATATGTCTCGCAGAGTACGTGATGGGAAAAAAGGTTCTGTGCAGACATGTTGAGCTCATTTATAAAACACTCCAGACAGACAGGAGGAGAAAACGTGGTTTTCTCATGTCTGCCTCATCCACTTGTTGGACTCACTGATCTTAAAAGCTGACAGTTCGCAATTCAGGATGGAGGTTTAACTGAGTGTTAACTGCACTTAGACACACATCACAGTGCAGAGAAACAGTCATGTACTATGGATATCCACAACACATGGAAACACCAACACCTTCAAACACACATGCAGTAATATTTCCCAAATGGAAAAAGGTGAACCATATGTAGTCACTTGTGAGTAAATCACATCCACAGTTTTGAATAAATCATGCAAAATAGCTACAATACAAATAGATGGTGATGGTTTCAGCATAATGCAAGATTTTCAGTATGTTGCAGGATGTAATGCCTTTCTTTCAATTCTGTTTACATGTTTGATATATTCTACATTAAAATTGTATATTTAAATGGTTACTTATTTATGTATTGTGGCAGGAGAAGCAAGTCACTCAAACCAAATGATTTAAGTTCATGATTCACTGGATTGAACTTCTGTCACTTTGATCTTATCTCTTCCTTTATTTTTAATCAGCCTAAACATATTTGTAGTTTAACACTATATTATTATTCTTGATGAGCTGTAGTGTCCACAATCTTGACTTGGTTTAATACTGTCATGACAGAATATCCTGGCTGTTCTGTCTTCGTCAGTATGTGTATGTGAATGTTTCTCTAACTAAGAAATATCTGATTCTAAAAATGAATATCCTTTTTTTATAATTGTCTTGCTTTCCATTTTTGAACACATTCAAAGCACATATAGCTCTTTGGTTGGCTTTTTGGTGATATTCAAATGCCTGCCCAGAACTGAAATGAAATGATTTACTGTAATGTGAAAAGAGCATTGTAGTATATTTAATGCTAATCATGGATAATGTTGATTGTGTATAATAACATGTGGTATTGTTTTTGTTGTAAAGTTGCATACGTATCCTAGACAGATGCACGCAAACAAGCACATTGTATGTATTTTGCACCTCACCTTTCACATCCACCTCCACCACCATCCAGTTTTCACGGCCGCCTCCGACACGGGCTCGCAGTTTTCCCCTGATTTACAGCCCAAAGGTGCAGTCCACTACTCTGAAGTGTTTACTCACCACAGGCATTAAACATAACTGTCAATTAGGAGTGGAAGTCAGGGCTCCTAATGGCCTTGTTTAGAATGTCATGTGGACAAGCATTAGCGTCTCTCAGTCTGAGAGTGTGTGTGTGCATGTGTGTAGGCAGTGAGGATCAGTATGTATGTGTATCTTTGTGTGTGTGTGCACGAGTGTGTCAAAATCCTGCACAGCCTACTCCCCTTGATCATTCAGAGTAGTGAACATTTCACCTGACACCTTTACGAGAGGACAGGACCCCGGACTCGTTTTTAAAGTCCCCTGTCCACTTTGATGTGCGTTATTAAACACACCTGTACCTGATTTGTGCACTGCTCTCTTTCGTCTCTCACTCTCCCCTGAATATTAGTGCTACTTATGGTTAAGTCTGAACATCAGCAGTATTTATGGATAGGTCTTAATAGGTGGATTTATCATGAAAGATATGAGTGTCAGAGAGGGTGGACTTAAAGAAAGGTTCAATCAAAGGGTAAACATGTTTTTTTATAATGTTTTGCTCACATTAATTCCCTCTTTATCTCATAAAGGACTCCAAATAAGCTCCAAACAATAATTGGACTTGCTACTGATGTCGCTAGTTTACTCATATTAAAGTTAGGTTCACACATTTGAATTTAAACTGGATAAGAGGTGATTCTTGTGCCAGACATATTCAGTGTTCTTTTACATTTTTTTTCTCAATGGATTGTCCATGTAGATACTCAATTAAAGAAAGAGCTAATTATTCTAACTTGTGTCTACCCAGGAGAGACATGAGTGGAAGTCTATTCATACAGATTGTCAAACAATATGCAAGTTGAATTTCAGTGTCATTTTTCTCTTAAAGTCTTGGTATCTGTATAGCTAATTCATCCATTCCTACAGGTCTGACTTAACATCCCACTCCATTAACTGCTACAGTTACCGTCTGTGAAACATAATAAACCCTCTATTGCAATAGTAAAACTTTAGCTGCATTAACTTCCTGTTGGGGGCGGCACACAGGTGTGCTTCAGAGATTAATGTCTGAAGCATTTTGGAGGAGAAAGGGTTGATGGGAGGATAACGGATACAAAGAGCTCATGAATTATCTGCATATACGAGCTGCTTATTTGATCAACGATAAGGGGGAATGAGTCCACTTGCTCTCCAGTCTACGCTCACATGAAGCCTATGAGCCCTGCGATATCATCAATTTAGCTTTCAGTGACAACTAGTCCTTAGCATGGATGAACACACCCTCTTTGGTAAGCTATATGATAGGATTATGACTATTTGATATGCGATGCATGGAATTAAAGAATATCTAGATAAGTTTAAATTGTTCCCTCGCTGTAAAGCATAGGTTTAACTAAGGTCTCATACTGTACAGTAGACTTGGCAATACAGTAAATTGTCTGTTTTGCCCTTGAGGATCAATATCTATAGACTGTCAAGGGCGCCCTGGTTTCTTCTGCTAATAGGTTAACAAATCTGAAGCAAAGAGCATGTTCTTCAAAAGGGACGGAAATGCCTCTGTACAATTGTGACTAATTGTGGCATAAATTCACAATCGTTTCATAACGGGCTTCACAGCTTGAGGTTTGTCATGTGCAATGGACACCTTGCTCCCATTTTCACCCGCCATTGCTCTCAATCAAACAAAGGGGAGGGGTGGAAGTTTCTTTTCATGTGTTCAAAGGCGACCGGTTGCTGAGCAATTTTTTTTAAACAGAAACAATAACTCTTTTTATTGAGAACAAATGTTGACATTTGGTGGGTGCAGCAGCGGGTGAGAGAAAGGGAGGGAGAGAGAGGCAGGGCCCCTGTGTGCTTTGGAGAGCGCCTCTGGTGCTATTTGACAACAGTGCTGAGTCCTCGGGGGAGCCCACCTGAGAATAAAGCATGCATTTCAATAAATCAACTGCTAATGAAAACGTTTGGGCTGAAGAAGAAGAAGCTGGCCAGGGGCTATAGTGTGCATGACTTCCATATAGGTGGCTGCCAGTGAAGCAAAGTTAAATAGAAAGGTGGGTAAAATATGTCAGCAGTGATCAAAAGGAGAACAACACTCACTTTAAACAGAAATCCATAATAGATTCAAAAAATAGCCTTTGAATGTTATCTTTTCTCTGAATTTCTAACAGGGTGACAGTATTCACTGCAAAGTACACCATGAATTTATGTCACAAAGACTTCTGTCAGCCTAAAAGGTGGGTTAACTGAGTTTAGGTGGGTTTACCCTCCACTGCAGCCCTGGTGGCAGCCAAATATTACTTCCTTGGATGAGGCGGGAAGAGTAGGGGGGGCGGCAAGGTGAAAGGGAGTCCCTTGAGATTTGGACAACACTCAAGCTCAAATTCAACTGGAAAATGAAGGATTAGCTTTTAGTCTGGCTGGGAGCAATGACTGAGGCCTCCTCTTGGAGGATGGGAATATTATATATTTGATCTTTGAGTATTTCACAACAAGACCACAAAATGGGTGAGAAAATAAGAAAATATTGGAATTAAAATGATCAGTGTTAAAAATGAATAAAGTCAATGCTAAATGGTGTGTAAAAAATATGTAATAATAATAATAATAATAATAATAATAATAATAATAATAATACATTTCCTTAGACCTAAGCTTTTTCTATAAATTGTTTAATTAGCTGTGTCCTAAAGCCGCTGTAATAACCAAGCCATGATGAAAAGCAGAGGAAAGCCTGTCCGATTAGGGCCCATCACACAGCCCATTGGAGCTGGCAGATGCTTAGATAGACTTTTATGGATTGCTCAATGCCGTGCCGTAATGAAGCAGGCAGGGCTGACCCATCCTGAACCAGGCTAAAAAGCTCCAGGGATGGGCCCCGCTGGGAGCCCATAATGCCCGATGCGTCCCACGGCTGTATTAATCACACTGAAAAATAAATGTGTGGCAGGGCGAGAGGAGAGGGGAAAAGGGGAGAAAAATGAAATAAGTACGTCGTTTATCCCAATCAAGGTCGTGAATATGTGGCCGAGGGAGATTCCCTGACCAGAATGAGGCCCTAAAAGAAAATGATGGGCCATTTAGACAGAATGGATTGTGCAATCTGTGAAAACTCATAATGTTTATGAAAAGCGAGATTCATCAAACATTTCCCATCTGCGTTTGACTGACAAAATAAAAGAACAATGATCAGAGTGAATAAAAAATGCCCCAGTGTTATATACAGGTCTGGTATAAATAAAAGAATGACTCCCCAAGATTGATGTAATAGTTGGGAAAACAGTTTAATATTTTCTCCTTTGAATAATGAATATCATACCCCGCCAGTACATCAATACCAGCGCGTTTTATTTTATTTACATTCAAAGATATAAATTAGTAAAAGTTCTCCTGATAACAAGATTGTGTAGCTTTTTCCCAAATGCGTCTCAAATAAAAACCGTCCATAATATATATATATTTACAAAACAAACAGACGATGTCAGTTTCCCATTTTTGCAATACAACTTGCATAAATTATAGGCATCATTTCGCCATCATTTAAAAAAATAAATATCAAATGTAGGCTATTCCACTTTGAAGTCCTCAAGTTCACTTCAGCTCCGTCCGCTTTGCGTCGGAAGACGCCTCCTTTAACAAATACGGTTTCATAGAAAGGCCAAATTATGTTTTCCACACGTAAATATATACTAAAATAATATACCGTGGCAAATAAGCAAACTATAGGAACCTGAGAAATAACATGTAAATCACATATAATGGGAGATCTTTTTCAAACCAGCATATGAAATTATTATCCACAATGCATCAAAAACAAAACAGCTGAAATGATACAACAGTAATAATCTGACAAACATATGTGCTGTGAGAGAGAGTCTCAGCCTGTGTGGAGCTGAGGAGGCGGTAGCAGCTTTCATTCCTACTATATGGTGGCACTAGATCCGGTTTGGAGTAAAGGTTATGGGGGTTAAAACATGGGGCTAAAAGGTGGTGGCCTTAACTCGCTTTATACTCAAAGCAATTGTGACACCTACCTGCAGACCATGGAAATAAAAAAAATCCCACACGATCAAATGATCAAACTCCCTCCACAAACCCAGAAAGCACAAAGTTTTCTCGGCCTGGCTCTACCCAAATCAGCTCCACTGCGAGTGCTTATTAAAATCCCCACTGCCTAATTACCGCTAATAAAAAAGCAACAAAACGACTACAGACTACCGAGCGGCGTGTAGGCAAAGCTTTGGATGTGCGCGAGGAGAGCGCCACAACCATCTCAGTGACATTTGAAGATGTGAAGTTGCGCGATGAGTGCACACAGCAAACTAACTGATTTGTTTGCTTTTGGCTGACCCTGTGTAATTTTAATTACCCCGAGCTGGTAGATAAGGTTTTGGGAGGCCCACTGTGCGCGCACACACACACACACACACACACACACACACACACACACACACACACACACTTATCAGAGGAAATATTAAAAATAGAATTCCTGCTCAAAGCTATGGCAACGTGTGTCTCTGCTTATAGGCTGCCACCGTGTGTTTGTGTGCACGCGCGTGACTGTGTGTGTGTGTGTGTGTGTGTGTGTGTGTGTGTGTGTGTGTGTGTGTGTGTGTGTGTGTGTGTGTGTGTGTGTGTGTGTGTGTGTGTGTGTGTGTGTGTGTTTGCGTAAATGCGCATGGCGAGGCCTGCCTTTAAATGGGTTTATATGGATGTCTCTATCTGTAGGTGTACTCTAGCACGTTTGTTTGTAATAGGCTTTTCTTATTACATACCTACTGGTTCCTAATGCGAGATTGTTGCAAATGAAAGTCCCCATCGCCTCGTGCGTAATGATGCAATGTCAGAGAGACCAAAATGTGCATATTGTTAAACCATGGAGAACAATTATAAATTGATTATTTTAGAAAATGCACTGCGCTGAAAACGAATTATAGGCCATAGTACAGGTTCATTTACTCAGACGGCGCTGTAAAATCTATAATAAGTCATTTAGTCTCATATTCAGACCCAAAATCGTATTCCTCTTAAAGCAAATGGAAATCTGCCAGTGGTGCCACTTGTTTCTCATGCAAACTCGCTTGATAAGAGTCGTATTTTTATTTGTTTTAATTTTATATAAGGCAACAAACCTGCCAGACCATACCATGGTGTGACTGCAATGACAAGTGACACAAAGAAAAACCAGTTGATTTGCATTGGAAACAAGTGAGCTCATTTTCCTTCCACCATGGTGGCGATCCCCCCCCTCAGTGAAAGAAGAATACAACCTCAAGACTCAACACCAGATTAAATCGCCTTCTACAGCGCGCCGCGTCAGCTTATTACGTACCTTTCTTTGCTTCTAAATTTGCGGGTCTGAAATGCTGTTGCTGCTGCTGCTCGACAACAACAATCTGGTTTGGGTTATTTTTAACGAGGGGGGAGTCTGGCCTGTGTTTGGGGTTTGTGCTCGCCTCCAGAGCCTGGTGAGAGGAGCTGAGACCCTCGTTTGCAGCGGCGGCGGCGGCGGCAGCGGCGGCGGCAGCAGCCAGACTCACTCCAGATGAATTAGTGTACCGCAGGATCCCTTGGCCCTGCAGGGGGCTGAAGTTGCCATAGTTTGTGTAATTGCTATAAAAGGGAGAAGTGTAATAAATAGGTCTTCCAAGGATGGAGGGGGCCGAGTAGAGGGAGGGGGAACTGGCAGCCGGGGAGGTGGTAGAAGGCGTGGGGGGAGTAAGGAGGCCACCGCTGGAGGAGGGGCAGTTTGGTTGCCCAGGCTGCCCCAGTTGCTGATGTTGCTGCTTTTGGTCCGAGGTAGCAATCTCCGCCAGCGACCACAATTTGGGCTTGACTGTGGGGTTCTGAGGCGGCCCCGTTGAGGGTCTGCTGTCAAGGCATGAGGACGATTTATTGGTATTGATATTGTTGCTATTGACGATGCTCCGGGCCAAATCCTCGCGCTGGCTGTGGAGATGGTGGAGGTGTTGGAGGTGGTGGTGGTGGTGGTTGTGGTGGTGATGGCTGAGAACTGGAGCCTCTACTCCCGTGAGAGGCGACGACGTGACGGGCTTGGGCGAGAGCTGAGCCCGCGGGTCGTGGTTCTGGTCGTCGTCGTCCTCGTCGCATTTGTCGCCGGCCCGGTCGGAGCCCAGCTCTCCCACACGACAGCTGACCTTCTCCCCGTCAGACTCTGCAGAGCAGGAGTGGTCCGTCAGGGTGTCAACGTGCAAGCTGATACCTAAGAGAAAAGGAGAAAAATAATATATAAATAAAACATATAGTTACAGGAAGCAAGAAATAAAACTATCCAAATATAAAGAAAGAAGGAAGAAGAAAATGAAACTGTAAAAAAAAAAAAAAAAGTGGGCACATATATCAAATTAAATATTAATTAACAGTAATCTAAATTTTCCAAATAGAAACAAAGACAGAAGATAATTTCTAAATAGCACTACCTAAAAACTTATTTCAAAGTCAGAAAGTATTACACACAGTATATTATTATAGTATTCAAAGCAATCACTCATGTTTTACTACAACCAACCAGCCTTGAATAAGTAATATATTAATTATTTGTAACAGCTAAATGGGCCACAATTAAAAGTTATTTCTACAGGATAACAATAATGATTTTCCCCTTGATAAAAAAAAATAAAAAGAAGTCATCACGAGAATAACATTATCAGTAAAATTTTATTGAGGCCACTCATGGGGATTAAGTTGCCAGTGACCTGCCTGCCATTAATCACGTCGAAGAAAATAAAATGTCCACGTTAACAGGTCATTCAGTTTTTAGTCTCAGAACCTCCTTTTCATTAATAAAAAAATATATACAAATTAACACGGTTAATAAAAGCAGATCTCTTGCATAAAGACGTCTGTTTCATGATCATCCTAGATTTTTATTTTAATTTTTAACAAAATATTATTGCCATAAATAACTTGAGCAGTAAATAAAAGATGCATCCAACCCCCCCTCCCTCCCTTCCGACTCAACCCGGTGCTACCCTGAATTGTTAAATGGATCATTGGCTCGGTCGCCACATTATACCCCACCTTCGTCCTCCGCTGAAGCCTCGCTGTTATCCAGGGTTTTCTCAGAGCGCTCCACCTCCTTCCTCTCCCCGTCCCCGTCCTCCTCGTCCTCGTCTTCGCTCTTATTCCTGGGCGCCCAGGTCATCTTGTTCTCCTTCTTGAGCCTCCGCCTTGCGTTGGCGAACCATGTGGAGACCTGCGTCAGGGTCATCTTAGTGATAATGGCCAGCATGATCTTCTCCCCTTTCGTCGGGTAGGGGTTCTTCCTGTGCTCCTGCAGCCAGGCCTTCAGGGTGGCCGTGGCGTCCCTGGTGGCGTTTTTGCGGTAAGCCGGGTCGTTGAGTTGGTAGGGGTACCCCGGACTCCCGTATGGGTGGTAACTCAATGCCCCGGCCATGCCCGTCGTGTGCGCGTCATATGGAGAGCTCTGGAGGAAAAGTTGGAAAAAAAAGTCACGACTCTGCGATGTGTTTTCTAGCGCTGAGTTTGGAAACGGTGTTTAAAAAAAAAAAAATGTGACAATGTTAATGTGCCTTGTGAGTAATTTACAAAACAACTTCATATAGTTTAAATGCATTTTGAAACGCACACGTTTACAATTACATGAGGCTCCTAGTTGTTTCAGAAACTTGTCGGAACAAGTGGAAAAGGGTGGCAGACTGTATCCGGATTTTTTGAAAGTCATTTAAATATCCTGGATCATTGATTAACGGCGTGCGGTCTATTGTTAAAAATACAAATGCATACTTAAATGATTTCATTCTTATTTTTTGTCGCTTTCATCATTTGTCAACCACACTCGTTAAGTTGTTTTTTTTTTTTTTTTTTAAATCACTGTAATTCCAAGCAGGGGTAAACAGACTGCATTAAAGCAGGCCGCAGAAAGGCACGGACTAATGGTTAACTAATGGTTAAGATCATTATCGGATTAACTAATAACAGGGCTCCTGTTAATAAGCCGTAAAGATAATAAAAAGGAAATTTCAATTTTCTGTAATCACCTATTAACTTCCTCGTTTTCTTTCAGTGGCTGCTTTTTGTTTTGTTGTGGCAGCCCCAATGTGTTAACATATCTTCTCTTTGCAGCATTACAAATCCCATTAGCAAATCACTTGATATGCACCTTTCCTAAAACGCTTGAAGTGCCCTGTGACATTAGCATTGCGAGTCATGCTTTTCATGTTAGAATTCCGTTTATTCAACTCAGACTAAAAGTCAGCGACTTCATCCCCGGTGATTTTAATGACTGCTGAAGAAGAAAGAGTTATGGCTTGTGTTATATTAAATTTCTATGACACATAAATTAACTGCTTTGTAGGCTAAAGGCTTAAATAAAAAATCTTAGTTGGTGTTCTGTTTTACACAATTAGCTGCGCAGTGAGTGTTAAGAGTTGGTCAAGCCATTACAATGTGCAGCTCACGCTTAAAAATCCCATTTAAGCCAAAGGGGTCAAGGATTTTATAATAAGAACCCGACGAGTAGGCCACTAGATATGAATGCATAGCAACCGTGCACCCAATTAGAAAGTTCCGCCAGCACTTGCAGGTTAGTGAATCCAAACAAAAACACTGAAAACCTTTTTACCGACACCATCTGTGTGCCAGTGAAAGACAGCTCAACATTTTGCACACTTACAGACTTTAACTCGCCGACACATTCACCTGCTTCGGAGCCTCATCATGCAAAATGACACATGCATATATGAGATATTTTACCATGTAGGATGGGAATCCCGTAGTTGGGTCCGTGGAGTATGACAGCGGGCTGGAGAAGCCGGCACCGGCCGAGGCGGAGAAAGCAGCCGATCCCGGGTAAGGACTGAAGGCTGAGCCAGAGGACGACCTCGCCAAGTCTTCATTCCGCGGAGCAGCCAGAGCCGAGGCCCCGTAAGCCGGACAAGAATAAAGAGCCAGAGAGCCCGGGGGCTGGTAGAGGTAACCCTGAGGATAGGACATTGGTGAGCGTGGGATAGGTCGCCGATTCCAAAAAGGGAGGAAAAAAACGCGCAGGGCGTCGGGCAACAACAGCCAAAATAATAAACAATCAACTCAATAATCAGCCGTGCAAACAGTCATCAGACAATGAAAATAAAAAAAAAAAACCGTCCTCCCTCCACAGCCCCCTTACTGGGAAAAAAAACCCCGAAAGATCTGTTAAAGTGCCCTCATAGAGGCAATGTGGCATGCGTCTTGATCCCCTAGCGTCCGATGTTTTTAGTACGCAGCACTATGAAGTGAGGAGTTAGGAAGGAAGGAGCCAGTGGAGTTTCAGACACACAGAGCATTGGGGGAAACTGGAGCTGTCACTCCGGCTCATCTGAATATCCCATCCCCGCCCCCTTTCTGCCTCATAGAAATGGAGCCTCGGAACAAAACCAAGACTCCACACTACAAAAAGTATTGTCAGTCCAAGAGCTGTTTAGGGATTTTATAACATGTTTTACTTAATAGCAACTTACTGCAAATGAATGAGATAATAATGTAACTGTTGCTATTGCAAATTAATTATCCACTGCTGCCAGCCGCGTTATTTGTCATGTGTTTAAGGGAAAATCACCACACAGGTGATGTGTAACAGCATTTAAAATTGAGTTATTTTTTTAATTGTCTTCATTTCAGTTATGGTTATAACCCCCCAATACCGCATAATTGGTTTGTTAGGATGATTTTTTTATTTTTTTATTTTTGCAATATAATACACAAATAGGCTTGCTTGGAGAGAAAGACAAGTATGGGAAATTAGTTCACCTGTTTCTCCTCAGTGCTATTTGTGCAATCGAGTTATTTATTGTGATTGTTTTGAGGTCAGGTTGATCGTGGCACACAGCGTCTGTCTGATCCAAACTTGCGTGCGCTCCCATAACAACTGTGCAAAAGAGAGAGAGAGAGTGGGAGAGAGAGAGAGAGAGGGTGGGAGAGAGAGAGTATAAAATGGCCAGTGCTCTCCACTTGCAGCTGGTTATTTCGTCAGTCCAGCTATCAAACGCGGACACATCCGTGAATGTATGCGATCACCGATACGTGTGCGCGCTCCTCAGGCAGTGCGCGCTCTAGCCTGCGGGAGGTTTACCCTGCTCCTTAATTTCCACCACTTAGCGCATCTCAAAAATACGCTCATCCCTTATTATTACAATTACATTCACCAGCAATAACAAAGCTGTTGGTGGTGGTGATTGTCGCTTTTATGAAGGGCAGTCTCTCCTCTAATACAGACACCAAGGTAACCACCAACACTTTTTGTGTGCGCGCAATCGTTTTAGGTGAGTTTTGACAGTTTTTGCCAATGCGCTTTGCCAGTGTGTTTGGGCACTCACCTGTCTAGGCTGTGGTGTATGTTTGTGTGCGCTTTTGGACTTGTCTCCATGCAAAACAGGGCATAGCCTTGTCTTTTATTATTGTGATTACAGGCATTATGACCTCTGTTGGAGACAAGCGATACAGCACAGCATGGTGGAAACCTGAAACTGTGACAGCGGTTTTGGAACGGGCAGTCAAGGTGGCAACTGTTGGGAAGAAGAGTGAACCTAGCAGTCTTCCTCATCAGTATTCATTCGAATGAACGTATTCATCCATCAGGTGCTTGTTCCTCCACCGCGGCATGGTCTGGCAGTGTTGTAAACAGCAACAGCACAATTTAAATAGGTGCAATACAGTTTGCATGTTAGCAGGGATAACTAGTTTATTTAAATCACCTAAATACATGCATACATTATATTGTACAAAAAGGGCTAATAGTAATCTTTATGCATTGCAGTTTTGTTAATTAACACACAATATCCCATAATGTCCTGTATTCAAATCTTGTCTTAATTACAGCCATAATGGGGGCAATTTTTCAATTTAAGCTACTTTGAGAGGAGACATGACAGTATTATGACTATTACATGACGTCTAATAGAACATACTGTTATCACAACATAGGCCTATTATAGTTTATGTATTAAGTGTGTTGTTATCATAAACACATTGTCAGTAAATGCAGTATTTGTTACATAAAGCAACCACCAATTAAAAACAAAATATAATAAAATCTGATTTTAATGATGTGTTCAATTTTGTTTTCACATTCTCATTCCTATTCTTATTTTTTGAATAAATGGATGAGTGACACCTCATTTTCACATAAAACGAACTGTATGTATGCCTATAAAAGCTTTAAAAATATGTTGTGTTACATGTGATATTTTTTCATTACGTATGACTATATGTCAAAACACATGGGCCTATAAAACAATCACATCAGTCATAGTACATGGGTAGAACAGTTGACATTAAAGGGAACTGAATTGCAGTCTACATTTTTAGTATGTATATAAGAGCAAATCCAATTAAATGTTAATGTCTAACCATATTCTGAGTAGTCAATATCAGTTGAGTACACTGATGTACCATATACCAACGTCACAGGAAAATATCCAATGAAAGTGTCAAATACCTCTAGATCTGCATGGTTATATAACTGAATATTTACTGTAGTGTCAAAAGTCCTCATTTTTGCTGCTTTTAGTGCTACGTGTATCTGGAGATATGCCAGATATTTATTGTATCCCCAATTATCTTAATAGTCTGTCTGCCATCCAGGAAGTGGTGAGATTTTTTTTAGGAAGATGTAGGTGGTTTCTCTGTTGCAGGCAGGACTAATCAATCCCAGAAGAGTAAATGAGTACTCTCAATATAGATTAGGTCAAGATATGGCTGACTGGGAGTACTGTTTGGCCCACACCAGGGGGCACTGTCTCCTCTAGACATAGACCATAGGCTAACCATCAGTACTGTACCATCACTGTGAATTGGTATGTGTGTGTGTGTGTGTGTGTGTGTGTGTGTGTGTGTGTGTGTGTGTGAGAGAGAGAGTGAGAGAGAGAGTGAGAGAGAGAGAGAGAGAGAGAGAGAGAGAGAGAGAGAGAGAGAGAGAGTGACAGTGAGAGAAAGAGAGAGTGTGTGTGAGTGGTCTGAGATGGGGCTTTTTTTTGTATGTGTGCAAGTGTATATGATGTTGAGTATAGGTGTGTGCATGTAAATGTCTTGTGCTCATATGCATATTGTCAGTGTGAAAGTGCACCTGTCGGGCTGTTAAGGTGTATAACTGTGTGTGTGTGTGTACGTGTGTTGAACTCTGCAGTAGTACATTCCAGGTCTCAGTTTCAGACAGGCTGGAGCTCCTAAGATATTTTAGTCCCATCCTGATGGAGATATAGGAGATGGGAGAGAGGAGATTGACAGACAGATAGGCAGAAAGACAAGGCAGTCAGAGAGACAGACATATAAAGACAGTATAGAGAGTATAGAGACAGTAAGGCAGACAGATAAAGCAAGACAGGAAAGCACCAGGTCAGACAGACAGAGAGGCAGACAAGGAAAAAGATGTAGAGTCAGACATACGGATACCCTGTCCTGCATGACCTTATTGCCAGTTTAGACCCATATAAATAAGGTGTAGTGACTTTTAGCAGTGTGTAAATATGGTATTAACAGTTTTGCTTATATTAAGGTGAGTTATACTGAGTTATATTGTTTTATTGATGTAATATTCAAGATGAGCTTGAATGTCTGCAATCAAATACATTCTGTATCAATAATGCATTTTTACTTTACTAAGTATAAGTTAATAAAAGTGCAAAACTTAAAAATAAATGTTTTGCAATTAATTTAGTTGTCATTTTCAAGAGTTTGTAGGCCCTCACTGTGAATACACCTTGCACAAACAAACACAAATAAAAATGTACATTTGGCCCCAGTTAATATGTCAGACTTTAATAAAAATTAATTAACTTTCAATATTTGCCAAAAATAAAAATAATGCTTAATGGATAAAAGCTGTTGTTATGCATCTGCTCACTCCAGATAACTCCATACCCAACCCAGTCATTTTATGAAAAATATCATCCTTCATAAATGAAGGAAACAGTTATTGATTTCTCATATTTTTTCTCCCAACAGAATTTACCACTGAATAATGTAGAACTGGCAGAGTTGCTCGTATTGTATTGGCTGATGATTTCTAACTGCTAACCCTTTTTGGTAGAGTAAATTGCCTGGAGTTGAATTGAATAGCTAAAGGATATAGCTTTGATGTCATGCCTTTTGTTTATTACACATATGACTAAATTTGTATTGATTTCTGATTTTCCACACGCTTTTGAACCTCTGCGGTGCAGCAGTTGTGGACCTTTTGCATTTTTTCAACTTATATATAACTGAAATGGAGTATTGGGGCTAATGTATTAACTATGTAGGTGCATTTGGGGGCATTGTTGGGTGGAGCAGGGTAAATGTGTAAATGCATGAGTCTCTCTATCACTGTAACTATGCATGACTGTAGGTGCATGACTAACAGTTCAGTGGTGTAGCAGAGAAATGGACTAGGTATGTAGTCATATTGAGCTGGTTTAAAATCAGTACAGTCTGGAATATTGAATTATGATTAAAGCCTGCATTCCTCACAGTAACTGCTGCCTCCACACCATTGTGACTTATTAGAACAGTACATAGAGTTCTTTTTTCTTCTTCTTCTGGTCAGTCTCCTTGTAGCTTTGGACTCATCCTTTTGGTTTCTGATGTTGGACTCATCTTCACTGGACAAAATCCCACTTTTGCATCAGTTGAGAAGAGAGTGTATTACGCTCTATACACATGGCTATTTAGTCTCCTGAATTCTGAAACACCCAAAAGGCTCAAAATGTTTTATCCTCTGTGGGCTGGTGAAGGAATGTTCAGTATCCCAAACTTGCACCAAGTACAGTGCATGTGTGTTTGTGTGCTCGTGTTTGTGCGTGGGCGTGCAGAGGAAAGAAGAAAAACTGCACTGTGATCTTTCATTGTGCAACTTAGTTAGCTAGGCAGACTCATTGTCAGCTTCATGTGATCAAAACAACTCCCCAAAACTCTTGAGATCGGTTGAAAAATGACAAAATGTTGCAGCATGTGTCTTTGTGTATCTGTCCTCACAAGAATGTCACATTTGCTGCATTTTGATACAAGGCGCTACTACAATTCATCCCCTCCCCCCTTCGGGTTTGTCACGGAAATGTCTTTGGTCTTTTTTTTTTACAACGGGGGAGGGGTCAGCAGGGGAGGGGCCAACTGGGGGGACGAGCAGGGTTGGGTGGTAGACTGGCGACAGGCCGTCATCTCTCTCCCCGCCTGGCATCTGCCCACTGCTGCCAACCCTCTTCTAATCAGCAGCCGTCCATGTGCTTGGCAGCAGAGGGGGTTTCAAATCAGCTTCTCGCCCCGAGTTAAAAACCCTAAGCCCTATCACTTTGTAAACGG